ATGGGGAGAGAACGGGGGAGTGGGATTGATTTGGAAGCTCTTTTCAAAGAGTCGGCACAGACACGATGGGCTGAAAAGCCTCCTTATGTGCTGTATGATTCTATGATTCTTAGTGAAATTGCATACGGAAGCTGAATGCTTTTGCTGCATGGGTGAAGCCGGTTGCAGCATAACTGTGAGATGGTGCAATTTCTGGATTCACAAAACCAAGCCCAAGCAATAACAAAAATGTACGGCACGGCACAATGGCAAAATATATACCTATGTGTCCTAAATTATCTTTGAAAAAAACAATGTAACTAGTCCTTCCTCAGCAAATAACATTATATGGATTCAGCAGCAAGGATTAGTTCTGTGAGCAACTGAAATCTTCATCCGTGCCCACACTAAAGGCCCAGCTTGGTAGCCTCTCCTGCTCTACCCTCCACAAGCTCCACACAATCAAAAACTGCAGCCTGAATCCTCTCCTGCACTCGGCTTCACTGGCTCTCTTTTCCCAGAAGCTCAACTTTGCAGTTCCTCTTCCCTATCTTCAAATGTCTCTACGGGCCTTGACCCAGTGCATCTCTGGAATCTTGCAACTCTCCTCACCTGACGACTCCCCCTTCTCCAACTCAGTGTTGCTTCATATCTCCTCCCATTCTGTTCTACCATCGGCAGGCGAGTTTTCAGCCATTTTGCCCCTTTGCAAATCTCTTCCTGCGCCTACTCAGCTCCCACTCTGCCTTTGTAAAGTGACTTGAACACTTTCCTTATATGAAAGGCACTATATAAGTGCCAACTGTTGTTGTATTGTGGAGCAATGCAGTAATTAAGAGCGAGGTTAGCACTGGTGTTAAACCAACCTCAGAAATAATAGCTTTTATGTTAAAGGTCCCAGTTTTAGTCTTGGACTGTGCCTTTACCAACCTTAGCTTGATTAGCAACTGGGTCCAACTGCAATATACATCTAGCTACACTGCTCCTTGAATAAGACGATTCCTGCTACTGAAATTTATCAAATGATTTCTGCTGGACATGGGAAGATGTAGGAACGTATTGGGTAACCATAGAATCAGATGTGTCTGTGTTGCCTTATATGGTCAAATAATTCATTACCCACTCATGGTCAGGCTGAAACATGGAAGAAAGGCTACTTGCACAAGTTACCAAGGATGCGGTCACCCTGGGAACTGTACTTAGGTATAATTTGTCCACAAATATACAGTCAATTCACTTTACAGTGTGTTTCTGTGAAGCGCTTTGGGACGTCCTCCCGACGTGAAAAGCGCTATATCAAATGCAAGGATTATTATTATTCACCGTCTTCATTACAGGAGGAGTAAGAGAATAATAATAATAATAATCCTTGCATTTGATATAGCTCTTTTCACGTCGGGAAGACGTCCCAAAGCGCTTCACAGAACACACTGTAAAGTGAATTGACTGTATATTTGTGGGCGAACGCGGCAGCCAATTGCGCACAGCAATGTCCCACAAACAGTCGTAGATTGAAAAATGACCAATTTATTATTGTTTTTGGTTTTGGAGGGATTATTATTAGGCGTGTGGAGTAAGGAAACTTGCCCAAGGTTTCGCCCTTTGCCTGGAAATGAACTCAGGTCTCTCACTTGCAAAGCGAGTGCTCTAACCACTGAGCTACAGGACTCCCCACTTGCAGAGAAAAAGAACAACATTGGGGCATCTTTAGTTTAACTGATTGATGAGTTTAGATAATCTGAAAATAACATTTGGTAAGCAAACACTGACGAGAGAGAGTGTGTGTGTGTGTGGGCGGGGGGGGGGGGGAGAGGGGGGAATGGCCCTCAGATTTTATTATTGATTTTATTAAGTTTCCTGCGACTTGCATGAACACATCCTGCAAAATTGCACTCTCAGATTCTTTCCATCGTGAGGTAATGAACTTTGATTTAAAAATCAACAGTAAACCTAGCAATTGTTTTCTCCCAGTTGACAATTCTCTGTACTGCTGTATGTTATATGGATAAGTAAGAGATTGAGGTATAATGCAGTTTAGGTCAGAGCAGTGTCAAGCACCAGGTTATGTCTGGAAGCAGCAACATCGAATTTGTCTTTTAGGTACCACAATGCAATATAATTTTTAGCGTGGACTTAGGCCACTTCCAATCTCATTATCTGACTGATTGTTAGGAGACTGATGAGAGGTCCTTGGGCACGAGCTTGCCTTCCATTTCCTCACTCCACGTAGAGAGTCTTGGGCCTGATTTTCACTATATCAATAGCACGCAGCACCATTGGGTCAGAGCTGGCTGCACCAGTGGAGGTATGCACACAGCTGAGGTACAAAACGACCAACTGTTGTTGGGCACAAAGAGATCGCACGTTTGCTTCTCTCCCCCCCCAATGTGGTGATCCACTTTTTAAGTCTCACCTAAAATGGATGCAAGTTAAACAACGAATATCTGCAGCATTCGGTAGGTTTCAAATGTTAGCCATAATCAACATTCCCAGTTTAGCTTACCTCCATGGGCAAGTTTGTTGGCTCCCAACCCAAAAATTTGAGTGCCTAACTGTGAGACACATTCATGCTCTTACAAGGGGAAGGAAATATAGAACAATCGATAATTTCAATGCAATGCAAACCTCTCATCAGCCCAGTACAATCCTATTGGAAATAACTGAATAATGTGGGTGGGTGTTCAACAGTGGATAAACAACAAGTCAATTGCTGGCAGTTGCTTTAATCCTTTAACTGCTGGTACAGTATTTATATTCACAAGACATTGCATTGTAAATTGTTGTTATTGTCTATGTATCCAGGGCATCTTTCACACTGAGTGACAAGTTCAAAACTGACTGTTTCTTTTCAAAACAAACTATAAAAATTACTCAGAATCAACAAACAATGAATCAAACCCAGGTTTGAGGGGGAAGTGGGCAGCACAGTGGGTTACCAGACTATCTTTCAGTTCTTGAACTTGAGCTAACATGAGTCTTCTTTCTCAGCTAGTCAATAGGAGGCTCAATTTTAGATAATCGGAAAGTAGCTCACAACACAATGTCCCATCATTTCTCACAAACGGGCAGTATCAGAAACCATACTGATAGCTTTAGCCAGAAATAGAAAATTCCTCAATGATGTGGTGTATGTGTGCGGGTATTCTGCAGAAAGGGAGCTTTGAATTGCCAAAGTGGGAAAATGTTCAACTCTACACCAGTGACAATACTCAAAACGTAATGAAGAGGTTGAAAACAAAAGTGGAATATAAAAGTTACAATATTTCTTTTTAAAAAAGTTTTAGACTCAACATACGGAAAGTTGTACATCAATGGGTGTCAAAAGTGGAGGAAAGAGAATTAGTAATGTTGGGTTAAGTTGACAAATAAATAGTGGCTGTTTGTTATAGACAGTAAATTAGAAAACAAACAAACAATATCAAAACAAATTCACAGGGCAAAGGATCAATGCAGTAAATCCAAAGGATGTTATGCAACAGGTCAAAATACAGTAGTGTATTATCAAGTCATACACCCCACTGGGAGTAAACCCTGTTCTTACTTCATATTTAATCAAGCATTCCAATAGTAATCGTTTTATTTTACTAGATCCGCTAAGTGAAAAACAGATTGTATATTTTCTACCTGATGTATCATATTTTCCTGCATTGTAGAAATGAACTAACTCTCGTTGAATGAATTTTGAGCCAATCCTGTAGGAATATTGTATTAAGAGAATTCTCCAAATCAAGTTAATGCCAAGAAGAAACACACAATCTCTTTTTTTTAAAAAAACACTTAAAGAAGCTCAGTTAGACATCTTAAAGAAGCTCAGTTAGACATCTTAAAGAAGCTCAGTTAGACATCTCATCACCTAACTTGCCCAGTGTCTTCTCCAGAGAAGACACTGGGCAAGTTTCTTCTCCAGAGAAGACACGAACGAGAAAGTAACATGAGTCGATGTGATCTTTGGGAAATAAAAGAGTTGAAGTGCAGGCCTAATTTTACCAATAAGACCTGAGCCATGAAAATGTAACTGCAGCGAACAAAAATGATCAAGATGCACTTACAACAAAGTGTTACTGCACGCTGCAGGGTTATTTGCTCGTGTAACCATATACATGTGCAGTACACCTGCATAATAATAATCCCTCCAACACAACAACAATAATAAATTCGGGTCATTTTCAATCCATACGACTGTTTGTGGGACACTGCTGTGCGCAATCGGCTGCCGCGTTCGCCCACAAGTATGCAGTCGCTTCACTTTACAGCGCGTTCTGTGAAGCGCTTTGGGACGTCCTCCCGACGTGAAGAGCGCTATATCAAATGCGAGGATTATTATTATTGTTATTAATATTCTCCCTACTACCAAATCAGCGGATTCACGGGTCCATAGAGTGTCTCTCCCTTTGGCAACTTCGCTCGGTTTGCAAACCAGTGACAGTGTCAGAACTTTCAGCTGCGGAGCGCACACAGGGAGGGAGGGAGGGAGGGAGGGAGGGTCTGGCCAGCACCGGCCTGGGTTAAACCCTGAAATATATTTAACAGGGTTCACCTAGAATATATATATATATATATATATAAAATATATATATATATACACACACACACAACCGAGAGCCATAGCTGGCTGGAGCGGGACCACTTTTATTGTCGACCTTTTATTTTTTTTTCCCCCTTTTTCCTTCCCTTTCTTTTTCCTTTTCCTTCCCTTTCTTTTTCCTTTTCCCTTCCCTCTTCCTTCGAATAAAACCCCCACCAAAGGGGGGAAAAAAAAACCCTCACACACGCACACGCACACACACACACAACACACACACACACATCTGGAAAAACACACAAAAAAAAGTGAATCGCCAAAACCTTTTTTTTGCACCGTATGTCACTGCGGGTCTTTGCACATGAGACGCGCACAACACAACACACACACAACACACACACACAACACACACACACACACAACACACACATATATATATATATCTAATATTATAGCTAATAAAAAGTTGCAAATGAAAGCGCCGCCGCCCCGCGGGTACCTGGAGTGAGTGGCCATGGTGCGGTTTGTGTGGCCAGTGGCGAGCGGTTGGCCATAAGCTGCTCTCTAGAGGAAGCCCCCGAGGAGCCCGGGCACTCCCTCCGCAGCCTCCTCCTGCCTCCCCGCACGAGCAGTGGGGGCTGCTGGCGCCCCCCCCGCGGCCCCGGCCCCGGCCCCCGCCCCCGGGTCCCTCCCCACTGAACGCATCCTCCGCCGCCGCCCCTTTCAGCGAAACGCTCGTTCCAGGGCTGAGCCCCACACAGAGGGTCAGAGCCTTCCACAGCCCTCCACCCGCCCCCCACCCGGAGCTCAGCACAGCTCAGCTCAGCTCACAGGGCTGTGGGGCTGACCCCGGGGGTGGGGAGGGGAGTGTGTGTGTGGGGGTGACAGAGAGGGGAGGGGAGTGTGTGTGTGGGGGTGGGGAGGGGGTGTGTGGGGGGTTAGGCTGTGTGTGTGGGGGTGGGGGAGGGGAGTGTGTGTGGGGGGGGGAGGGGAGTGTGTGTGTGGGGGAGTGGGGAGTGTGTGTGTGGGGGTGGGGAGAGGGGAGTGTGTGTGTGGGGGGGGGAGGGAGTGTGGTGGGGGGGGGGAGTGTGTGTGTGGGGGGTGGGGGAGGGGAGTGTGTGTGTGGGGGGTGGGGGAGGGGAGTGGTGTGTGGGGGGAGGGAGTGTGTGTGTGGGGGGTGGGGAGGGGAGTGTGTGTGTGGGAGGGGGAGTGTGTGTGTGGGAGGGGAGTGTGTGTGTGGGGGGGAGGGGAGTGTGTGTGGGGGGGGAGTGTGTGTGTGGGGGGGAGGGGAGTGTGGGGGGGGGGTGGGGTGGGGAGTGTGTGGGGGGGTGGGGAGTGTGTGTGGGGGGTGGGGGAGTGTGTGGGGGGGAGGGGAGTGTGTGTATGTGGGGGGTGGGGGAGTGTGTGTGTGGGGGTGGGGAGAGGGAGTGTGTGTGTGGGGGGGGGAGGGGTGTGGGGGGAGGGGAGGGTGGTGGGGAAGTGTGTGTGGGGGGGTGGGGGAGTGTGTGTGGGGGGGTGGGGGAGTGTGTGTGGGGGGGGGAGGGAGTGTGTGTATGTGGGGGGTGGGGGAGTGTGTGTGGGGGGGTTGGGGGAGTGTGTGTGGGGGGGAGTATGTGTGTGTGGGGGAGTATGTGTATGTGGGGGGTTGGGGGAGTGTGTGTGGGGGGTTGGGGGAGTGTGTGTGGGGGGGAGTATGTGTGTGTGGGGGAGTATGTGTATGTGGGGGTTGGGGGAGTGTGTGTGGGGGGGTTGGGGGAGTGTGTGTGGGGGGGAGTATGTGTGTGGGGAGGGTGTGTGTGTGGGGGGGGGAGTGTGTGTATGGTGGGGGGTGGGGGAGTGTGTGTGTGGGGGAGGGGAGTGTGTGTATGTGGGGGGTGGGGGGAGTGTGTGTGAGGGGGGAGTGTGTGTGGGGGGGAGTGTGTGTATGTGTGTGGGGGGGGAGTGTGTGTATGTGTGTGTGGGGGCAGTGTGTGTGAGGGGTGAGGGGTGGGGGGAGTGTGTGTGAGGGGGGAGTGTGTGTGGGGGGGTGTGTGTATGTGTGTGGGGGGGGAGTGTGTGGGTATGTGTGTGTGGGGGCAGTGTGTGTGAGGGGTGAGGGGTGGGGGGAGTGTGTGTGAGGGGGTGTGGGTGGGGGAGGGAAGTGTGGGGGGTGTGTGTGTGTGTGGGGAGTGTGTGTGAGGGGGTGTGGGTGAGGGGAGTGTGTGTGTGGGGGCGGTGGAGGGCTCAATGTGCTCCCCCCATAACCTGCTGCTGGACACCCCCCCACACAGCCCCTCCACCCCACACAGCCACACCCCCCCACCCCCACAGCCACCCCACCCCACACAGCCACCCCCCCACCCCACACAGCCACCCCCCCCACCCCACACAGCCACCCCCCCCACCCACACAGCCCCCCCACCCCCCCACACAGCCACCCCCCCACCCACACAGCCACCCCCCCCACCCCACACAGCCACCCCCCCCCCCACACAGCCACCCCCCCCCACACAGCCACCCCCCCACCCCACACAGCCACCCCCCCACCCACACAGCCACCCCCCCCACACCACCACCCCCCCCCCACCAGCCACCCCCCCCACACAGCCACCCCCCCCCACACAGCCACCCCCCCCACCCCACACAGCCACCCCCCCACCCCACACAGCCCCCCCCCACCCCACACAGCCCCTCCACCCCCCCACACAGCCACCCCCCACCCCACACAGCCCCCCCCACCCCACACAGCCACCCCCCACACACTGCCACCCGGGGCTCCGGGGGGAGGGAGGGAGGGGGGGCCCAGGCCGCCCTGACACCGCAATGGTACAGGGCTGTCAGCCTTATATGGACATGTTTGTGGTGCCGAGTGGAGCGAGTGACAGCGCTGGAGGCTGTGCTGTGCTGCCAGTGTTGTGCTGTGCCACACTGCTGTCCTGCACTACACTGTCCTGCACTACACTGTGCCACATGTGCTGTCCTGCACTACACTGTCCTGCACTACACTGTGCTGTCCTGCACTACACTGTGCTGCGCTGTACCACACTATGCTGTCCTGCACTACACTGTACTGCACTACACTACTGCACTACACTGTGCTGTACTGCACTACACTGTACTGTGCTACGCTGTACTGCACTACACTGTGCTACACTACACTGTGCTACACTGTACTGCACTACACTGTGCTACACTGTACTGCACTACACTGTACTGCACTGCACTACACTGTGCTGTCCAGCCCCGAGGCTTCTCTCTCAACTCCGTGTGGCTTTGCTTTGAGTGGCAACAGGCTGTCAGTGTGTGTGTTTGGGGGTTGGGTGTGAGGTGTCCTGAGTCTCCACTAACTCATCCTCCACCGTCACTTAAGTCCACCAGGTGTGTGTTGGGGGATGTCCTACCTGGGCTGAGTGGGTGGGGGTGGGGGAGGCTGAGTGTATGCGTGTGTGTGTGTGTGGGGGGGGGGGGGGGGCTGAGTGTGTATGTGTGGTGGGGGGGGGGGGGCTGAGTGTGTGTGTATGTGTGTGTGTGTGAGTGGGGGGGCTGAGTGGGTGTGTGTGTGGGTGGGGGGGGCTGAGTGTGTGTGGGTGGGGGGGCTGAGTGTGTGTGGGGGGGGTGAGTGTGGGTGGAGGGGACTGAGTAGTTGCGTGGGGGGCTGAGTGGCGGTGGGGGGGGCTGAGTGCGTGGGTGGTGGGGGCTGACTGTGTGGTGGGGGGGCTGAGTGTGTGTGGGGGGCTGAGTGTGTGTGGGTGGGGGGCTGACTGTGTGTGTGGGGTGGGCTGAGTGTGTGTGGGGGGCTGAGTGGTGTGGGGGGGGCTGAGTGTGTGTGGGGGGGGCTGAGTGTGTGTGGGTGGGGGCTGACTGTGTGTGTGGGTGGGCTGAGTGTGTGTGGGGGGGGGCTGAGTGTGTGTGGGTGGGGGCTGAGTGTGTGCGTGGGTGGGCTGAGTGTGTGGGTGGGTGGGCTGAGTGTGCGTGGGGGGTGGTTGAGTGTGTGGGTGGGTGGGCTGAGTGTGTGCGTGGGGTGGGCTGAGTGTGTGGGTGGGTGGGCTGAGTGTGCGTGGGGGGTGGTTGAGTGTGTGGGTGGGTGGGCTGAGTGTGTGTGGGGGCGGCTGAGTGTGTGTGTGGGGGACTGACTGTGTGTGCAGGCTGAGTGTGTATGTGGGGGGCTGAGTGCGTGGGGGGGGCTGAGTGCGTGTGTGTGGGGGCTGAGTGTGTGTGGGGGGGATGAGTGTGTGTGTGGGGGGGGCTGAGTGGAGCTGTGTGTGTGTGGGGGGCTGACTGTGTGTGCGGGCTGAGTGTGTATGTACGTGGGGGGCTGAGTGTGTGTGTGGGGGGGCTGAGTGTGTGTGTGGGGGGGGCTGAGTGGAGCTGAGTGCGTGTGTGTGTGTGTGTGGGGGGGGCTGACTGTGTGTGCGGGCTGAGTGTGTATGTACGTGGGGGGCTGAGTGTGTATGTACGTGGGGGGGCTGAGTGCGTGTGTGTATGGGCTGAGTGTGTGTGTTTGGGGGGGCTCTGAGTGCATGTTGGTGTGTGGGGGGCTGAGTGTGTGTGTGGGGGGGCAGGCTGAGTGTGTTGTGTGTGTTGGGGGACTGAGTGCATGTGTTTGGGGGGGGCTGAGTGAGCGTGTGTGGGGGGGCTGCGTGTGTGTGTGGGGGGGCTGACTGTGTGTGCGCGGGCTGAGTGTGTATGTGGGGACTGAGTGTGTGTGTGTGGGGGGGTGGGTGGGCCTGGACTGTGTGCGCATGTGTGATGTGTCCTGTGTGTGTGGTGGTGGTGGGGGGGGGGGTGGGGGGGGGCAACAGAGTAACACTGGAGAAGAACATGAGCCTGAGAATGGAGTTCCTTAGGGGAGGAGGAGGAGGGTCAACAGATTATTGAAGAGGAAGGGGAGTTGAGTTATTGAAGAAGAGGGATAGTGGACATATTGACATTGTTAACATGGAGAGGAGTTTGTGCTGTCTTTTGATTGATGTTAAACAACTCCCCCTCCCCCATCTGTGCCGGAAATAGACAATCTGGGTCAAGTAGCTCCTGAAGTGGAAATTTTTTCAACAAATTGCATGTATGTAGCATCCCACACATAGGATAACATATTGGAGCACTACACGGGGTCTGAATTGGATGCTGAGCAAGAGAGTGGTGTAAGGGGAAGGTGATCAAGGATGTGGTCAAAGAAATAGGGGTTATGGTGTGATTTAAAGACATGAGAGCCCTGTGAGGTAGAGGGGTAGGGGAAGGGCGTTCCAGAGGTTAGGAGTGTAGTAACTGAAGGCTTGGCCACTGATTGTGTTGCCGGAAAGGCCAGGGACAAGTAGCAAGCCCGAGAGCAGAGGTGGTGATCAGAGGAGTGGGGTGAACAGAGGAGTAGGATAGAAGAAAGTTAGAGTGATAGGGATGTGCTAAGTTGTGAAAGGATTTATAGGTGAGGATATTAAAATCGATCTGCTTAGAGACGGGGAGACAGTAGAGCCTAGCAAGGGCAGGGTTGATGGGTGGGGAATTTCGTCCAGGTAATTTCCTAAAAAAAAAACTCTGCTCAATATAATTTTCACTTTCTCACAGCAGCAACAATGAACCAGCAATTTTGTCTATAGCGAGTTGGGCTCTCTATTAGAATTTGAGCATAGATACGCTGTTGAAAGGAAATTTGGGGACTTGGAAAGTTC